GGAAGAAAAAGAAATGGGTTAAGATCGATTTTGCAGATGGAGTGGATATGAGAGAGCATTCAGAGAATAAAAAGAAATGGGTTAAAATCGATTTTGCATATGGTGAAGATGAAAGACCAGTTTGCAGGTAACTGGAATCCATTTGAGGGGTTTTGTGTGAAGAAGATGAAGATGACATGTCATAAAAGAAAAGGTCCAGCTAAGCATCTTTTTTAAGTTGTGCCCGCCATGTCATCAAAAAAAATATAAAAAATGTCATGTGGCCGAGTTAATGGCTCAAATTGACAGAAGGATTAACGGAGTGCATTTTGTATAGTTGAGGGATCAAAAAAGTGCAAAAAATTGTTAAGGGACCAAAAATGTGCAACTCACTAAAGTTGAGGGACCAAATTTAACATTTAACCTAAAATATAGCACCTTTATTTTCAACTGTTGTTAATTAAATTAGTAACCTTAAGGACCCTGTATGGTAACATTGCCTTTTCGGTTTTTTTTTTTTTAATCCAAATTTTGAGTGATCAAATTAACAATTATAAAAAAAATTAGAAAAGAAATCCACAACTTGTTAAGTAGGAATTTTAAAACTGATAACCAATTTTTTTTTTTTCAGAGTATAAATTTTTTTAATTTCAATTTAGTATTGGTAATTTTTTTGCAATAAAAACAAAAAATTGAAAACCACAATATTACAATAGAAGGGTAAAAGTGACAATTGGAAACTTTCTTCCTAAACTTTTTTAATAATATGTTTAGATTGAAGAGAATGAAGACGAGAAGAAAGAAGCTGAGGAAAATTGTATCCTTCAAATCCTTTCCTATTCCTCCTCCCTTTTCATTTGGATAAATAAATAAATTAAAAGAGAAAATAAAGTAAAGGACTTTTTCCCCCTCCCCTCCTCCCCTCTAGTTTTTGTAATGGTAATTAAATGAAGAAATTTTTTCCTTTTTTCATCAACCAAACATATTGTAAATTTTTTTCTTTCTAAGATTATTTATGTATTTTCACAAATTAATACTAAAACAAAAGAAGAGTAAAAGTGGTATTTTTAACTTTTATTTTTCCTAAAATAATTCTTAACTTGTAAAATTTTCTTTTCACATTGTTTGAAGAGAAAAAGTTCCCCCCTACTCTCTTTGTATAGGACCCATTTGACAATATTTCTGCCAACTTTTCCTATACTATTTTCTTACCAAACATGTAAAAGTTAATAATCTAATAAAATTGTAATAAAATTTTATTACAAAACTTATTAATTTTTCATATAATATTTATCAATTTTCTATATAGAATTTTCTAAATTACTTTTTCTATAAAAACTTTTCTAATAAAAATAGCTTTCTAAGCAAACAGGTCCCATGACTAAACTTAACCTTGCTAAATAGTCTTAGGTTTTTATTGAGAAGTGTAAATTTTTTTTTAAACAAAATGACTCTTAGTTCAAAATTTGAAATGTTCGAGTGGGTGAATGAAATTATCCAAGAATACAAGGATCCTCTACTCAAATACAGACAAAAATTTCAAATATAATCTGGTGTTATCCCCACAAGAATCCTAAGCTGCAATGCCCTAATCTGACCGTCATACAAAACATACTTGCCACGTGTACGGTTATGATCATTCCAAGTACAAATCTTCCTGATCCCACCCTCACGACATAAAAGTCAGTGTACCAAATAAATTTTGAGAAAAAAATTAAAAAAAGAAAAGAAAAAATCTGATTGGCTGAATCCCCTTTATATTCAAGTTTCGCGGCAACGCTCTTTGTTTCCATCCCTCAAAAATTTTTTCTATCTGAAAATAAAAATTTTTATCTCTCTCTCTTTTCTCTCTCTAAAATCCCTCTGAAGTCTGAGTAAAGTTCTTCTCTTTCTGTTTCGAAGCCCTTCATTCTCTCTGTCTGGGGAAGACCCAGATCGCGTTTGGCTAGAATTGGTGGCGGTAAGTCTGAGGTCTCGGATCTGTGAATTAGGGTTTAAAAAGTGAAGATTTTGTCTGTTTCGTTTGTCTTTCGGAAGAATTTGTTGGAAATTTTTGAATGTTGACGGGTTTTTGGAAGTGTTTCGGTTGTTCTGTAGTGGGGTTTTGGCCTTTTTTTGAACTGGCGTTATGGTTTGAAGTGATTCGGTTTTTTGGGATTTTCAACTCAATTTGAATTTGGGGTTCTGGGATGGGTGATTTATGGTTTCCCTTGAGTTTTTCTTTGTGAAGTTGGTGTAGCAAGTACTGATTCATCGGGTCTTTATTTGAAATTGGGGTTTTGGGGAATATGGGGATTTGAATGTGTTATAGATTTGTCTCGTATTTCTTTTCCTTTGTCCAGTATCTTGGCTGTGCAATGGGTAGCTCTTCTCTTGTCCAGTTTTTATAAATTTGAAGCATTCTGTTGGGTCTATTCTAAGTTTGTTTTAGAGCAAACTGTTTCTGAAATTTCTTGCTTTGAAAATTTGTTAATTCTTGATGGATTCAAGAAGAGTGGAAAGAAATTTCTCTGATTTGTTTGTACATCTCCTTTCATTTTTTGTACTTCTTGTGATTTTCTACTTGTGAGGTAATATCTCTTGTGATTTGGGGAGAAATGGATTGAAAAAGTTGCTATCTTATAATTTGGCAGTTGAAGCACAATTTCTAATATGTGAAAGACCTCCCGAAAAGGAACATTCTTGAATATTTTTCCATTATCTACCATTACGTTGGCCAGTTTAATTCACCCTTCTTTCTTTGTGCTCGTTACTGGTTTGTTTCAGATAGAGAAAGTTATTAATGGCCCCAGCAAAGAAATCTAAAAGTATCAACAAACGATATTCAAGTATACAGGAAGTCTCTCCTGATAAAGATGCTGACAATCCAAGCAAAAGTAAACAACGGGTGAGCATTTGCCACTCCTGGAGTTTATCTGTTTTGAGGCTACAACAAGACTCAATTGTTTCTTTTGGAAATTTTCTTATTTATAAGCCTTGAGAAACTTCTGATGTTATAATTTGTTTCTTTGAATCTTTTTTTGAGAAATTTATGATGTTATAATTTGATTCTTTGTTGCTCTCACTGATTTTGTTGGTCCAGCTAGCACTAACTGAATGGATGTATTACATAACAACCTCTTCACCTTACCCCAACAAACTCCTTTCTAACACTTTACAGACATCTATATGTTCTATGGAAACAGCCCAAGTCCTTGAAAATTTCAAAAATTTGAAGTACTTGTGTTAGGGAGACACTTGTATCAGACACATGATCTTGGGTCCATGCAATGTGGCAATATGGTGTGCCAAACTTGATTGTGTGTAACTCTGCTTTTGCTTTACTGTTTTTCTTTTTCTAGTCATTGACTATTGTATTTTCTGCCATGAAGAAGAAATTGTCAGACAAGTTAGGTTCTCAATGGAGCAAGGCAGAACTGGAGCGTTTTTATGAAGCATATCGAAAGTATGGAAAAGATTGGAAGAAGGTGCAGTAATTGTTGGTCATTTTATGATGAATACTTTGAGAAATTTCCTAATAGAGCATTATATAATTTTTCACCTAATTCATTAGGTTCTCTCCCATGTGATGATGTTCTACCCCTTTTTTTGTGCAAATCAATTTATCATTTTTCTCAATGTTTTAACTTAATGGTTTCTTAATCCTCAGGTTGCTTCTGTACTGCATAATAGATCAATCGAAATGGTGGAGGCCCTTTACAACATGAACCGGGTATTCTAAGTCATTTTTTGCAGCCTAAATAATCAAGACATTACTGATTGTAACTCTGTTGTCTAATCTTGTATGCTTTTGGACTTTTTCTGCTTACTGATTTTAAGTGCGCATAACATGTGGAGCTGTCAAGATTGGTATGTTGAACATTAATGCTTCATAAGTAATAGATTTACAAATCTAGGTACCTTGTCTTTAGGTGTTTATTGCGGATACTGATGTAACTGATGAAGCATGATAGTTGCTCTAACTGACAGTTATTGCAATTATTATTGTTAATATGAGTTTGATTTTCAGGCATATCTATCACTGCCAGAGGGAACGGCTTCTGTGGTTGGCCTTATTGCGATGATGACAGATCACTATAATGTCCTGGTGAGATTTGAATTTATAAATATAAATTTGAATTTTTTTTTTCCCGATATTTTTACTTTTGATTGATTTCTCCCTTCCTCTATTAATTTTTAAATTATAGTATTAGGTTATGAAGTTGTAACATCCAACTCATCTATGCACTTAGTATTTGAACATGAATGCATGCTTGTACAAATCTGTTTCTTCTATCCACAAGTGAAAGCTTCCTTATCCCATGGATTATAAATGAACAGGAGGGAAGTGATAGTGAAAGAGAGAGCAATGATGCTTCTCAAATACCTCGGCGAGCTCAAAACCGCAAACGGCCAAGGGTTCAGCTTAATTCTCCTAAAGAGGATAGCTTTCACCATCCATCAATAGCGTCAAGTGAGGGATGTCTATCCTTATTGAAAAGGACTGGCCTCAATGGTAAGATATGTTGCCATTGGTAGCACACTACTGCCTGGTTTTTGTTCACTCTGGTTACTTTCTTTCTTGTACTCTGTGCCTTATTCTTTCTTCTTATTTTTATTGCTTTTTTCAGTAATAATAATTAATAAATATGATCATTCAGACATAAGGGTATGGAATTCAATCTATTGTGAATAAAAAGGCAAAGATACTAGTGCTTTTACTTGTCTGTGGGTCATAGGAATGGAAAACTTTATTGTTTCAAACAGGGTTATTTTTTATGAAAAGGGCAAAGAAGTGCATACCAGATAACAATGACCATGATTCAACTTGACTACATAGAAAAATGGAAATTAGGATAAATGGTGGTTGTGCAAAGATGATGCTTCAAAAGATCTAAGATTATTCTGGAGGATTCAAGTCAGTTGATAATAATCCAATAATGAGCGATTTTAGCTTTCTAGATTTAATGGATGTAGGATGAACTTTAAACAGTTATCCACCTTTATGGTTTGATATTAGGGATGTAAAAAAAGTGTATGACTCTAGCATTCATTGTTTAAGAAATTGTGAATATATTTTGCTCAATTCTTGCTAGTTCATGAGAGAATGGTTAATTGAAACCTGGAAAGTATGGGATGAACTTGTCTCTTTTGGAGTATTTAAACCTAATAATTATGTAATATCTTGGATCAAACAGTGAAACTACTGATGCAGTTGAGATTGTATTGTAATCCTTCCAAAAACTGTGATTGATGTTATCATTTGTTGCCAAATTATTTCTAGATACTCATCCTCGTGCGGTGAGGAAAAGGACACCTCGGGTCCCTGTTTCAAATTCCCGCAAGAGAGATGCTAATGAAAGTTACACTTCACCAAGTAAAAGGAACCGGAAGTCAGAGGTGGATGCTAATGATGATGTAGTCGCTGCATTGGCATTAACGGAGGCTTGGCAAAGGAGAGGCTCTCCTCTAGTTTCTCAGATGCCAAGAAGTGACCACGCTAAACCCTCACCTATTCACAGCTGGGATAGGATGGTACTTCAGCTTTCCTTTACATTCTGAATTATTTTTTGTTGCCTTGTTTCTTATCCATTCAATAAATGATGTTGTCTGTGTTCCTTGTATGCAAGCAGTTTCCACAATCAGAGACATGCAAAGCCAAGCACAGTGATGCTTTCTCTGAAGAAGGGACTGAAGGTAGCACGGGTGGTAAGGAAAGTGGCGATGTGCCTTATGGCAGACATAGAGCTTCCTTGGTAGATATGGAAGGTGTAGGCACTGTGGAAGTTCATCACAAGGGGAAAAAGTTTTACAAGAAGAAGGTCAAAGTTGAAGAGATGAGGAACAATTTATCTAATGATAGTGGTGAAGCATGTAGTGGCACTGAAGAATGGCTTAAAGGCAGTGCTCAAAAAGGGAAAGTTGATATTGAGGTTTCCAGTGCAAAAGTTGAGCAATATTTGCCGCGGAGTCAGAGAAAGAGAACTAAAAAACTTTTCTTTGGAGGTACAAACTGGAGAGTTGGATAATTTACATTTAAATGGTCCTATCCTAACAAAGAACATGATTTTAAAAAAAGAGAGAAAGAAAAGGGTTTTGACATTGCATCCACTGCTAAACTGTTTATGTAGTGATTGTAACAGTCTTCAGTTTTAGTACCACATAGATGCTAATATTTTTATTCCTTTTAATTATGCTTCCTCATTCAGATGAAACCCCTGCCCTAGATGCGCTGAATACATTGGCGAGTTTGTCAACCTTAATGTTGCCAACTTCTACAATGGATTCAGGTAGGTGTTCAACTTCTGCTTGAATGTACATCATTGCATTCCTGCTTCATTTATTTATTTAGTGTTAGTTCTTTCTTTCTCTGTGAGGTAAACTTATAACATTCTTACTCATTTGGTCACTATTTTCATGTTGATTTTAGAATCACCTGTTAAATTTAAGGAAGATGGAACTGCACTTGAAACAGATGAGAAATCAACAATACCTGAAGCTGCCTCTATGAGTCACCATAGACATAAAATCAAGCACCTTGGGTTGAGAGAAAAATCAGTTAAGGTGATTAATGCTGTTGAGGATTCTCCCTCCAGAAAATCAAAAGTTGAGAGGTACTCCACAACCAATAAAAAAGCTGCCTCTAAAACAAAACAGCAGCCTGAACTTACCAATAACACATGGAAGAGAAAACGAAAATCCTTTGTGTCAAAGGTAATGTTAGATTTTCTTTAGTTAGCTGTTAGCATTGACTTCGAATCTTGAGTTCATTAGAAAAGCATTTTTTGAAGCTGCAGGCACCAAATGCAGAAGCTCCTGTGCAATCTCAATCTATTAAATCTGTGGAGAATAAGGTATGAAAATCAGTTGACTTGGACTTGTGATTTGTAGGAAGCTTATTGGATCAAGAAATTAAAATGTCCTACACTTGTGGATATGACACTTGTACTCAAACGGTCAGCCACTTACAAAGTTGGTTGTTCTTGATTTCAACTTGATTTACTAAAAGAACTTATACAAGTAATGGATTCCATACTTCTTTCAAAGAAGTATGCATATAATGTAACCTTTTAATGTCTATTGTTTTGGCACAAGAGAAAGGAATACTTGATTGCATTGAAATTTCTTTGTTTAATGATATACGTTTAATGAAAAGTCTTTGTAGCTTTCTGTTGGAATTTCATCAGATATTTTTTGATGCAGATGATTTGCCTTTTCCCTTTTAGGCATGGCTGATATTGTTTTCCTTTTTACTTACTATTTTCATGGGTGCTTGTAGGACACAATTGAAGAAGAGAATAAACATATTCCTAAAGGCAAAATAAATGGTCAAGTTTCAGCTCAATCAAAACAATGGAAATCAGTCAGGGTGTCAGAGGGTTCCCCTATTAATGTTGGTCAGAGGAAGTCTGGAATTGACTTAGGGGTATCAGCTGCAGAAGTTCCTGTGAGGTTATTAGCAAGAAAGCATCAAAATAGGCGTAAGATGAATTTAAAGAGAGTTTTGATCTCAAAGGAGGTCAAGTCTTCTGAGAACATATTGAAAAATCAGCCTAGGAAACAGTCTCCCATACAACAAGAAAAATCATCTCTAAAAGTAAGATTAGCATAATTGTTTCTTTCTTTTTTCTTCCTTATCACAAAGTAAAATGTAAATCTTAGAGCATTTATTCATGTACATGTTATTGGATTTCAGAGAAAGCTTTCTTCTTGCTTGTCATCTGATATGGCCCGGAGATGGTGTAGTTTTGAGTGGTTTTATAGTGCAATTGACTATCCTTGGTTTGCGAAGAAGGAGTTTGTTGAATACTTAAATCATGTGGGATTGGGGCATATTCCAAGGCTTACTCGTGTTGAGTGGGGTGTCATAAGAAGGTAAGCTTTTCAAAAACCTATGACTGATATTTCTGGCAAAACAAAGAATTTATAGTGTATTTCTTGTCAATGCAGTTCCCTTGGCAAACCCCGGAGGTTCTCTGAACGCTTTTTACTTGAAGAAAGGGAGAAGCTTAAACAATACAGAGAATCTGTCAGAAAGCATTATACAGAACTTCGCACTGGTGTCAGGGAAGGACTTCCAACAGACCTGGCACGCCCTTTATCAGTTGGGCAAAGGGTGATTGCAATTGATCCCAAAACAAGGGAAGTTCATGATGGGAAAGTGCTTACAGTTGATCATGATAGATGCAGGGTTCAGTTTGACTGTCCTGAAATAGGAGTTAAATTTGTCATGGTAATGGCATTTCTATGTATTTTAACTTCAGCTGTTTCATCTTATGTCTGTTTTTGAAATGAAAAAGGCATATCTTGTTGCAGGATGTTGACTGTATGCCATTAAATCCACTGGATAACATGCCAGAAGCTCTTAGGAGACAGAACCTTTCTATTGATAAGTACTCTTTGACCTCTAATGAGTCTCGAGTTAATGGTCATTCAAATCTTTTTGGATCCATCTTTTTCGCTCCAAGTGGACATCTTGAGAATGGAACCAGCCCCTTTAATGCTACAGTAATGCAAGCAAAGGTTAGAATGCCTATCAATTACAGTACTATTTTCTGTTACTCCTAAATTTCTGTGTTCTGTTTATTTTTAACCTTTTTTTATTTTCTTTTCATAAAAATAGTATAAAAGAAAGTTCTAACTTGCTAAGTTAATTCAGGGCCCGTTTAGTAACATTAGTGATTTTGGTTTTGTTTTTATTTCTTTTACTTTTGGACATTAATATTGTTTTTTATGTCTATTAGATATCATTGCACATGTGTATATTTAATTTATATAAAAAATATATATTTATAACTATAAATTCAAAACAGTACATGGTATAGTCCAGTAGTAGCAAAATTGGTATGCATGCCAGTACAGTATTGACAACTTTGGTTATGATGCAATATTATTACATCTTTAACTAATCTCACATTCTTGGGGGTTGCCTAGCTGGATACAAACCATAATAATCTTCAAGCAAAGGCAGCAACTTATGGCCAACCTTTTACCATGGCACATATCCAAGGGAGGGATGCTGATATAAATGCTATTTCTGAGTTGAATCATGCCCTTCATAAAAAGGTATTCAACATTGGATAGACTATATTTATGCTATTCTTATTTAATACATCTTAATAAAAAAGGTTCAGTTAAAGCTTCTGATGCCTAATTTAGTAATTAGACGATGTGTTGTAGTTTATCATGCTAATTGACTTCATAATCAAGTAATCTTTTTGTGAAACAGTTTCCCTATTATCCATTTTTATGGCTTTTGGTGATTTTGCTTGTTAAACTGTGAGCTTTCTGAGGACCATTGTAGTTTCTTAAATTGGGGTTGGCATTTTGGAATTGTGCTTCATTAACTTGTAAATCCATTGTATATGTAAGTGTTCTGTTACATAAACTGTATCATTTTCATTTTATCTAGTTGAGTTTGATATATATGATCACTTGCAGAAGTTTATGAATATTTTTGTGCTGATAGAGCTGCCTTTTTTTTCTTTTTCTTTTCTTTTTTCTTTTTTTTTTCTTCCATCCAATTAAAATAACTTCAGGAAACATTATTGATGGAGCTAAGAAACACAAACAATGACATAAGGGATAACCACAATGATCTAGAAAGCATTTTGAAAGACTCTGAACATTTCAAGAAGCATATTGCCACGGTACTTGTACAGCTAAGGGAAGCCAATGACCAGGCATGTGGCTTCCATGAGAGTGTTGCTGGTTTAGCCCTTTCTCAACAATTTTAATTAAGTACTCTGACAACTTTGATGTATTCATTTTTCACGCAGGCTTCTTCAGCTTTACTTCATCTGAGGCAACGAAACACTTATCCAGCAAACTGCCTGCCTCCATGGTTTAATCCCCAAGTTATTTCCAATTTCTCAAATGGGTTGGCAAGACCTGTTGATTCTCTAGTCCCACAGGAATTAGGACCTGATATTATTGAAATTATCAAGGGCTCAAGACTAAAAGCACATGCAATGGTGGATGCTTCTATCAAGGTATTAAGATTCCTTATTCATGTTTTTGTTTACCCAAAATATCCAGCATGAGATTTAGTAAACTAATGATGTGATATTCATTCTAGGCAATCTCTTCTGTGAAGGAAGGGGAAGATCCATATACTAGGATTGGAGAAGCTTTGGACTCTGTAGATAAACAGCAATTAACATCAGATGCTAGGATGCCAGTGGTCAAGCCTACAGAACAGGTCAATGGCATTCAACATCAGCAAAATCGTTTAATTTCCAACATGTCAGAGTTAACATTTGCTGGTGCATCTGATCCCAAATTGCAGGAGGCTTCAGAAAAAGGCGAGGAACAAATTCCTTCAGAGCTTATCAAATCATGTGTTGCCACTTTACTCATGATACAAGTAAGTTTGAACATCTTTTCTTATGTGGATGCGGTTTTTTTGGGATTTGAAGAATAACTCTCTCTCAGGGCTTATCAAATCTGTCCATGAGCACCTACTGGTTCATGCACACAGATGCACTCTGTCATGAAAGTGATTTCTCACACAAACCTTAATAATATTACAAAACAAGCAGGGTCCAATCCTTTGATCTGGTCTTCTGTAGCATTTTCAGACTGGTTGGCTCATGAAAACCAAGATTAGTGGAAGGGTTCATCCACCAAGTGATCTATACCATTAACATTGTCCATCAATATTTAATATTGGTTGGCACCTTCACCATAAATCATGTCATATCTTTTGCATTGCTCCATCTCCAATGAAGTTAACTGAATCCATTTTTCTCACTAAATCTATTGTTCCACTTCTTCCTCCTTTCCCTACCTTGATGACTTGTTTATGTTGCTTATTGTCCTCTTCTGTTTTGTTTGCTGACTGTTGTTTTCTTGTAATGTGCAGTCATGTACAGAACGACAATACCCGCCAACAGATGTGGCTCAAATAATTGATTCTGCTGTTACAAGCCTGCATCCATGCTGTCCTCAGAACCTGCCTATCTACAGAGAGATACAAATGTGCATGGGCAGAATAAAGACTCAGATATTAGCTCTAATACCAACTTAAATCGGATGTCTCATGTTCTGTCCCTCTTGCCAGTCATATGTACATATGATGCCAGAACCATGGTTCCACGGCATCTCTTGATCTGCTAACTCATATCGCCCTCACTGCATCATTCCTGGATCCTCAAAGGGAGGTTGGCAATCTCATTTTGCTGTTATTATTCTAATTTTTGTTTCTAATCTTGCTAGCCAAGTGTTGTAATTTCATTTGGTCATCCTTAAATGAATAGATAATAAAGTTCATCCTCACTAGGGAGAACAACTTCATTAATTAGCATCTGTATATATACAAGTTCACCACATTGATTATTACTCTCTTATTATGAGCATATGCAAGTCCAGTAGTTTCCCCCTTCTTTTCTTTCCCCAGTTGAGCTACATATTAGAATGAAAGGATGCTTGGTACTGAGGTTTGAAGTTGTGATCTTATGATGAAAATGAACGAGCATGATATCATATATCAAACTCGCCTCATGCTCTCGAGTGAGAATGATTGAATGGGAGGCTAGATTCTTCAACCAATATAAAGTTTAGGGACCATTTTTTTATAATTTAAAAAGTTTATGGACTAAATTAAAATTAATTAATTTCTTTATGTGCTGCATTAGTGGCGTTTTAATTTTTTGATCGGCCAATTTGTATATGGCAAAATGCAGTGTTAAGGCCCCCAACCTTTTATGTTTTCAAACATCAGCCCCTGTAAAAATAAATGACATCCTATTAGTGCAAATTGGCCCTTCTACTAAAGCCTTAAACTGTCCCACAAATGCAAACTTTGCCACTTAGGAAGCAAATAAAAAAAATTGGAGTAAAATTATACTCCATGGATAACAGTACTGTATCCTTCTAGGATTTTGTTGTTACCTGGAATCATGCAAAGATAATATATCTAATGATAAAAAGTTATTTTAAAAACCTTAAAAGATGCAGCACGTTCTCAATAATTCACTAATAAAACTAACTTACAAAAAAAATCTCTAATAAGCCATTGATGCTTTGATATTATTGACCATTTACTATAAATTAAAAAAACAAAGATGTAGTGTGCTGATTAGTAGATGTTATATACTTGTAACTCTTACCTATAACCTATTAAAAAACTAATAAAATATGGCCCTAAAGAAAAATGAGTGTATTTTCTTAAACTTATAACATGCGTATGCCAACCTAGCGGTGATTCCATAATTAAGATTATTAGTCTTGGTCTAATTAAAAATATGGCCTGACTATCAAGTCTTACAATATATATAGACATAAGATGAAGTACCATAGCACCTCAGAACTAAGAAGTCAAGGGTATTATTAAAGAAAGAAAGAAAAATATTCGGGCAAGTTTCCCATGAGTTAGAAATCGTCAATGTGCCCGCAAGTGTTGCATGGGAGCTCTAAGGCACCCCAAGATTCTGGAAGCTTATCCAGAAGGGTTCAAGGATGTCATTCACAAGCTGGAGCTTGTAGAAGGAGATGGAGGCGTCGGCACGATTATCAAACTTGACCTTGTACCAGGTAACCCTAGCTAATTACACTCATTCATTGCATTTCAACCTTGTTTACACATAAAATTAATATATCATTAATCTATTGAAGTTGATTCAAGTGGTTAAAGAGTCATTTGAACTATGTTAAAAATACGGTTTCTATTCTCTACAAACATCATTTAGGTGCAAACAATTTCAATAACCACACCCACTATCCTAGAAGGTAGAGTGTTACCCAATACTTATGGATGAAATGATTTATTAGTATCTATGGCCTCAATCAGGCCGAAGGCTAGATACCCATGTTATCAAAAAAAGAAAGAAAAAAAAAAAAACTGATATATCATCTCTGTTGTGTAACAGAATCAGGGGTAATACCTGGGATTACTTGGTACAAGGAAAAGTTCACCAAGATTGACAATGAGAAACGAGTGAAGGAGACAGAGGATGTGGAAGGGGGATATCTGGATTTGGGCTTCACTCTGTACAGAGTTCGGTTCGAGGTCATAGAGAAAGATAAGGATTCATGCAGCATCAAGTCAACCGTTGAGTATGATATCAAAGAGGAAGCTGCAGCTAATGCCTCCATCATCACCATTCAGCCACTGGCGAAGATCGCAGAACTTGCAAAAGATCAGCTCATTAGCATCAAAGCTTAATTAATTAAGCATTTAATTATGTTGCATGCACTTGCTTTGGTTTGGTTAACTTTCATTAAGCAAAATTAATAAACTTAATTATCTAGCACTTGATGTTGTGAGTTAATAAATTCGTGAATATACTTCGCGATGTTTTTTGCTGTGATATTGTTGTAACCATTGAAGTACTGCTTGTATTTCGTTTAGTAAGACTTCTTTTGCTGATAAAAGAAAAAAATAATTCGTGCATATCAAAACATGGATGATGTGCGCTATGCCATCAGGAGCTTACATGGGTGCGCAAATTTTGTGATTTCGTACGTTGTATAGCCTTTGGTGTTTACTTTCAATTTTTTTATTTTTTGGTATTTATAGTGAAAGTATTTTAAGACTAATTTTTATATATTTTAAGACTAATTTTTTTTAGATAATCTTAAAGACAGACCTTCTATTGTTCTAATATATTCAAAAAAAATTAATTTTATATGTCTAGGTCTTGCAAGTTTAGGTGATGGGATAAAATTTTTTTGCATCTAATACCTCTCCATAGTTACTGCTACCCTCACCTTCCCAAACAAGTCCCACCTGCCCCTCTTGAAGGATATGCCCCCAATCAGACTGCGTTACGCCAAGACGCGATAAAGCTTACCGCTTCGAGCACACAACAAAAAGAAATGGGCTCCTTCCTTGACCATCTAAACTAAAAAGGGAACCGCGCGCCCCATCCCGTTAATCCTATACCAGTACTTGTTAGATTTTTTTATATAAATCAAAGACTTTTATTATACAGAATACAAGGGTACTCCACCTATAATCTCAAAAG